CGAATTCGCAAACAAACAAATAAGACCTACTCAAGACTTAAGCAAACAAGACCCACTCAATATTCAAATAATATTAAGCTCACAATAAAAACAAAATAAAATTTGCAGCCTATACCAGTCGGAAGTCAACTCAATATATGCAATAGAAAGTGCTTTTTACAAATTAGCAACTCAAAGGGAAAAATAGGGTCATAGGTCAGAAGCATGCGCCAATGGAAGAAAAGGGTCGCAATTCAGTCGTAGGCCAAATGCAGTAGAGAGGAGAGGGTCAACCATGGTTATTAAAATCGCTTGGAAGATCTTAGGATCGTATGATTCTATGTCTTTTTCCTTCAAACGAGTTGAATCGCATATAGGATCATCTTCTTCTCAGATCTGTTAGGATCGACGTGTAAAAACGTAGAACCGGTGGGATCGGACAATCCCATGGTTCAAGCGATTCAAGGATAAAAAACATAGATTGACAAGAAGAAGAGTGAGAAGGAGGAAGTTCTAGCGATTCAAGGGGAAAAATCCAAATTTACAAGAAGAAGAGTGAGAGGGATGAAGCAGCTGGCTGTTGTCATCGGCAGTGTTGTGTTTATCGGAGACCAAATCAACAGTGACCATCTTTGCAGAGAAAAAAATGGTCACTTGAAGAGAGAAGAAGACTATTCTTTTCGACGTTTATGGGATAATGGGAAGTTGAAATATAAGGATTCCAAGGGCCCACTTCCAATTTAGTCGTTTAAGGAAGACTAATCTTATCTCTGCAAAAAAATATTTTTCTAGATCCCTGCACAGTTTTAGTAAAATATATATTTCTCATAAAAGTTTTAGTTAGTTAAGCAATTAAATAATTAAATTTTGTATGTGTCAATATAGTTTTAGTTAATTAAATATTTCTCATACTTAATTTATAAAATATAATAAGGTTACCATTTTAAAATATAAAAGGTTATCCCCATATTCTTAGAGAAAAAAAAAAACCCTTTTAAAAATTCATGTGATTTTAATATTTTATATGTACAGGTACGATTTTACGATCCGTGTTGATTTTACGATTTACGATTTTTTTATCCCCTCCTGATCTAAAGTAAGATCTCGATCTTAATAACATTGGGGTCAACATCACACTACGAAGCACAGACTAGTGCTGTCGCAGCCATAAGGTTGGCCTGCAAGGGAGAATGCGCAGATGGCAGTTGCAAGTAAGGATGAGATGAAAATATGGAGTTAGGGTTTTGAATTTGGATTTTTTGTGATTTTTCTGGGTCATGGGTCAAACTTCTGGATGTGGGCTTTTTTTCACAATCGTTGGAACGGTGGGATTGGACGGTCCCACAGATTTCATGTTTTTTTTCCGAAGATCTCATTCGATCTCAGAGGAGCACGATCCCATTCACGATCTTGTGCACTAATATGACCGTATGGTTTTTTGCGCAATCATGACAACAATGGACACTGCCTTGTTCTCTTAAGCATTGGTATAAGAATTCCGAGGGACTGTACTTTCTTTAATCTTAAGCAGTATATACATACAGCCCATCAACCCCATAGTCCATACCTTGGAATTAATGAGATGCATGCTCCCTAGAATTAATGGGTGTACATACATCACATTAATAGCAGTGAGAAAAGTTGATTGTTTCAAAAAATAACTAAGGTTTCCCTTGATTTATATTGGCACTTTCAACGTGGAAGCATGAGATATAATATAATAACGAAATAATGTAATAATAGGGTTTTTTTTTCCTTCTATTCTGGATGAGGAAGCATGTCATGGTTGTTGATCCCACCTCTTCATTGATGTGTTTATTAGATAATTTAAATTTTGAAGTGATAATATATGTGACTGAGCAACCATGTTTTGAGTATGACAATTTCTTCATTAAGGTTTGGGCAGGCTGCAATTGCCACTGCTTTTTTCTTAAGCCTGTATTCGAATTATAGTCTCACCCATCCCCCCTTTTTCCTTTATCACAAAGTTCAATGAATGAAGCTCCGTTATGTATCCTACAGGTTGCTGTAGATGGTATCTGGAAAGTGTGTCCTCAAGCTGGTGGACCCATTCAGTTCCCTGGCTTTAATGGTTAATAATACTGCTTTTTTTTCCCCCATATTTAATTTTTCACATGGTGTAAATTTCTCAATTAGTTGATAAAGACAATTTACTCTGTTATATTTTCCTATAGGTGAATTAATCTGCCCTGCATATCATGAGCTCTGTAACAACGACCCAGTAGTTGTGTCTGGTGAATGTCCCGATTCATGTAATTTCAATGGAGATTGTGTCGATGGAAGATGCCACTGCTTTCTTGGCTTTCATGGTCATGATTGCAGTAAACGTGAGCTCTCATTTCCCTCCTTTATGTTATAATTTATGTATTCGTTGGGCTTATTCTGTAATTTACCTTCTGTTTGGTAGCAGTGTGTAGTTTTCACTTTTTCCTTTTCTAACAGTGCTTTCTCTTAAATTCTTCCAGGTTCCTGCCCCAGCAATTGCACTGGCAATGGCATATGCCTTTCCAATGGGATTTGTGAATGTAAAACTGGCTACACTGGCATTGACTGTTCCACTGGTACACACCAATTTTAAAGACTAGATATTTACTGCAAGAATATTTCTCCCTGTACGAGATCTACATTTATGATCTGACATCCCCCCCCCCCTCTCTCTCTCTAACTTGTTGTGTATTCTTATTCTATTTTGTGGGTGGGGGGATGGGAAACATTATTAATTTCTTACTTATTTTTCAGGGATTAAGTTCTTGCCTTATTTTCTAAAGGATATACTAGTTTTTTCTTATATAGTAAATGCAAATAACACCAATCTAATATTTGATTAATGAAAGCATTGCTTCCAAAGTAATATGATATGCTAGGGATGAGCTTTGAAAAACGATACCCACTACGAACATTGGAGTACTTGAAAAAATGTTGTGTTGGGGTTTCTTTAGGATAATTAACCTCAATCCCTTTTATGTAATTAAGGCTTTCTAGTTTATGTTATTTTTCTTCAATTTTTTGAATCACTAGTACTACGACATTAATTAAAACAGATTAAGTCGCCTACAAGGGCTTGGGCGGAGTGATAAATGAACTGTACTCCCCCAGGGGGATATTGGTTTGAGCCTTGGAGATGCCAGTTGTTAGGATGGCCTATCTGTATTGACCCATTCCCGAAGGGATTAGGTCAGCATAACCTGCTAAACCTAGAAAAGGAAAAAAAAATTATGTCAATCTTGTTAAACAATTTTTAAGTAGGAAAAACATTTATTGTTTCTTGCAGAAACATTATTAGTTCCAAGTAGAAACATTATTTGGTTATTGACTTGTCCCTCATACTACTTGCAGCAGTATGTGATGAGCAATGCAGCCTTCATGGTGGGGTTTGTGATAATGGAGTTTGTGAATTCCGCTGTTCTGACTATGCGGGATATACATGCCAGAACAGCTCCATGCTCCTATCTAGTCTTTCGGTTTGCAAAAAAGTATTGGGAAATGATGTTTCTGGACAGCATTGTGCACCCAACGAGCCAAGCATACTACAGCAGCTGGAAGAAGTGGTTGTCATGCCCAACTACCACCGGTTATTCCCTGGTGGTGCTAGGAAATTATTTAATATATTTGGCAGCACCTATTGTGATGAGGCTGCTAAACGGCTTGCTTGCTGGGTAAAGTGTCTTTTCATACAAAAATTTATTCTTTTGTTTCACTATCTTACTCTGTTGGTTTTTCTTCCTTCGTTTCCTTTCCTAATTGGTTCACACATTATTATGTTCTGCACGTGACACTCCATTTTGATAAAGCCATAGGCCCATAGCATTAGCGGAGTTTAGTTGGTTCCACATATGTTTAATGATTTGGTTATTTGATTTGCTGAGATAATACCGACTTTCCAAGTTTCAACATGCCAATTCAAACATGAGTGATGTGGGTTTTTACAATGATAGAAACTGAGGAACATGAGATAGATTTTATTGAGTTGTAATGCTTTCTATCATTGTTTCTAGATAATAAGAGCATATTTGGTAATGTTGCCTGTTTGTCTGAAGAGTTTTGCACTTAATTTTCAGATCTCAATCCAGAAGTGTGACAAGGATGGAGACAACAGGCTCCGAGTATGCCATTCTGCATGCAAATCTTATAATCTAGCATGTGGAGCTTCACTTGACTGCTCTGACCAAACTCTTTTCAGCAGTGAGGGGGAATGGGAGGGTCAGTGCACCGGCTCTGGTGAGATGAAATTGTCATGGTTTAATCGTCTGCGAAGTGGTTTTTCTTTTAGAAATAGTTCCTTGAAAGGAATATCTGTAAGACATAGGCCACTTTAACACCCCCCCCCCCCCCCCCCTCCTCTTCTTTTGGGGATTTTTAATTATAATTTTTTAATCCTTAGATTTGGGGGTTGCTTGCTCATCCAAAATTGTTTAGAAAAAATTGGAGGGGGTTATAGATTGGCTTTCAAAGAGGAGAGCCTTTTGTAGAGAAAATTTGGAATCTAGGGAAAGAGAAAGTAGAGTGTAAAGAAGAAAAAGGAAAAAAAAAAAAGAGTTAAGATGATTGTCAGAGCTTTGGCCGAAGGCCTCCAAAAAGAAAAAGTTCTGCTTCATTCCTTCTGTTGTATATATGTCACGATCTCTTCTTTTCCTTTATTTTGCCATTCATTTTATTATCTTGGTTTCATTTATGCGTTTTTTTTAATACGCGCTGTTAATTTAAGCTCCTTCAAAACTATCATGGACCATGAAAAGGAATTCAATCTGGAAAAGAAAACCGGAACGAAAATTCTTCGTCTGACTTAGCAAATGGATGCAACCTGCTACTTCGGCTCTAGTTATTCACTTTTTTAGTATCCAAGGTTGTATGGGTTCTTGGTCCTGTTAGTGTGTCTTTATTGTAGTCAAAGATGTTGTCCATTAAAATTCATTTCCTATGCATTGATTCTATTCATGATACTATCGGAGTGAAATAAGTAGATCTAGCAGTGTTCAATCACTTCCATATTTTCTCAGTAACTGTCATCCATAACAGTTAAAAAATGGGGGTTTATATATGGTGTGGCTTCAAACTTTGCGAATCCTGAACTTACTCTTAGATTATTGTTATACACCATCTATGTCTAAAAGCTAGAGTTTCTCATTGAATTACGGCAGAAGGTATTTATGACTCAATTTTTCCTGCATTTGATCTAATTGCTATACTAATATATATGGTGCATGGTCCTCGTGTTGGGGAGTGATCGAAGATGATACGGGACATTGGTTATCAGCTGGGTTTACAAGCAGCTTGGAGCAAAGGATGTCGACGGGTATGCCTGGAGACAGACTCCCTTGAGGCCAAGTCGATGATTGAACAGGACTGTAGTTCCTCTCACCCGAAGCGCATTAGCAACTACTTGTACGAAGACTGGCTCGTCTCATTATCTCACATGTTGAGGGAAGATAATGCAGTAACCAACTGGTTGGCATCTCAGGCAACTCAGCACACTTGGGAATTGCTAGAATTCGATAACCCCCCGGTAGGTTGTGAAGCTGTTTTACAGCATGACTAGAGGAGCTGCTCTCGCTCGACTTTGCAGTTAGTTTATAGTTTGTTCTTGTTTCCCAGTTTGTATCCAAAAAAGAATTACGGGGGTGTTTGGTTGGAGGATTTTGGAGAGATAGATGGGGAAATGGAGAAGTGGGTTTGCATGATGTCCTTGTTTGGTTGAGTGGTTTGACATATTTATCTACCTAAGTGATTAAACCATCTAACCCATTTGCATGTCTTTCTCATGGAGATAGCCGGCCGTTGATTCCCAAATCAAAGGTGGTATTGCAAGATATCAACTTATGTGGTTTCACTGTGCACTTACCCTTTGACGAGCATACCCCCAAGATTCAGAGCCAGAACACAATGGTTACAGACATGTTGGTTCTGCTGGTGTTCATAACCAGAAGACTCATGAACCTCCCTTGGTCAACCAATCAAGAGGACAAGCTTATCAACCTTACCAATTACCCGAAAAACATGCTGCATCTACTCAAACAGTGCCTCAGGTACCGTGGAAGCCTTCTGTTCCTGCCCCAAATCCAACACCTGTGGTTAAGCAAGAGATAATCCTTGGGAAGCCATTTGAGGATGTGAAATTGTTCTATACACTTGGGAAAGAATTGGGTAGAGGGCAATTTGGGGTAACACATCTATGCATTGAGAATTCAACCAAAGAGGAAACTTGTTAGCAAATCTGATAACGAGGATATAAAATATGGTCGTTGCCAGTTCCAACTCTGTTTTACATATGGTCGTTGGGGCTGACAGGGTTATTTGAACTCTTTTTTCGTTGTTGGATTCATTTCAACTTTTAATACAGGGATATTTTTGTAATATCATATTTTTTCCCATCTATATTTTACCTACAACCAAACATAGGTTTTATAAATGTTACCTGATTTCTCCGGTTAAATTTTTTACAACCAAACAATTTTTTTTTACATGTTCCTACGAAACTTACTTTCCCCCTATTTCCCTATCAATCACATTTCCCTATTATTCTAAAAATTTCTCCTCATTCAAACGCACCCTACAGGTCCTTCAGGGGAAGGGCCCATTATTGAGATGGGTCTTGAGAAAAGTTTATGACAATTCACGCCAAGGTAAAAGAGGAAAAAAAGTATGAAGAAGGAAGGTCAAATATATCACGGGAGTTTAAACTTCATGCATGTTTCTTAAGTTTATTAATTGAGTCGCGTGTATGTATATATATATATATATATATATATATATATATATGGGTTTTATAATTCTTATCTAACATGAGAATCAAAATTTGACTTTTTCTAATATATGGTTCGATTTTTGTACTGATATGGGTTCCACACATAACTTTTTTTAATATATGGGTCCCACATACTTTTTATCTCTATGACATAAGAATTCCCTTCTCATGTAACATGAGAATTATAAAGCTATATATATATAGGAATGTTATAATTATCACCAATAAAGTTTACCATTTGTTACTATAAATTGTGTTCCGTAGAGCATGATTACAAGAGGAAGATAAGAGAGACAGTGGAGGAAGTAATTTAAAAGAAAGAAAAGAAATTTATATTAAATAACAACTGTTATTTTATTCGATTATAACAGAGATAGTAAGTATCGGGGAGAGTTATATTTATAAAATTTCTTTCATATTTTTATGATGTAAAATCGTGAGGAACCTGGGTTTCTACATGCTCTCCATGGACATGTGTAAATTAATAGTCCCATTATATTTTTTGACTTTTAGGGCTAATCCAGTCTTGGGCTCATTGTCTCTGGAGGTGGCAAATTGGACATATCGCTCAGTCAAAAAGTGAGTCAACCTGCCTCGTTTGAGGTGCGGGATGGGTTGGCTCGCCGAGCCGATACCTTAATTGTCTCAACAGACAACTATTGTGATTCAGTTAACAAGCGAAAGCCAAATGGCAAAATCATGAAGTACAACTAACCAATACCAATAATGGGAAAAGTGTGTATTAAGTCCTTTTAAGAGATATGTAGACACAAAAAGGATCCCACACTTTTATTTTTGTGTCTTTATTTTTTTCAGTGGGATCCACACCTCTTTGTGTATACCTCTCTCTTAAAAGGACCTAACCCAAAAGCTTAAGTTGTTGGATGAGCTACCCCTCACTAGATTAATGATTTTATTATTCTCTAACACACCTCCTCACAAAAGAGGTCATTGAGCTAGAAAAGTGGATGATGCATCAGACATTGAACTTGAAAGGTGGATGATGCGCTCATGCCGTTAAAAGGACACACTCTTTTTCCACCTATAATTACTTAATTACTCCCATATTATATCGTTCTCATAAGTAATCACCAAACCTACATTTAAAAGAAAAAAAAAATCGAAATCGCGCTTCAACCATATGATGAATGATATCGATAATAGACCAGTATATTATGCATACACTGCGTGCTAGGCTTAATAAACATGCAATCAACGGAAGAATAAAACAAATGATATTGATGAATCATGAGATGGCTATGACTAGAAGGACCCCGACGGACAAAAGGTGATATGGTAATTGGAGCCAGAACATGTGCAAGTGCCGGAAGCATCATCGTAAGCATAACTGTAAGCGGAGGGACATGCACTCTTGAACAATTCCGAATACTGCGTCGGTCTGCAACTCTGTGGAGTCGAGTGTTCGCCGGTGCAGCAGAATTCCGGCGTGTTGAAAGCTGTGCACGCGCTTTTACAAGCCACGACCGAACCCCCATCTTCCGTTACCTGCAACTCCTCCGGACAGTGACCGTTCAAGTCCACAATACACCCGGCGTACTGACAGTCACCGGTACCTCCGGTTGCCTTCACTCCCATTCCCACGTTGTAACCGTCCACCAAGCTCACGTCATAAAAATCCTTGCTGTTACTGGCGATTCCGATAGTGAACTCTGCCAGCGTCACCGGCGGATCACCTCCCCCAATGCATCTGAGCCCGCCGGAGCAGTCTCCGGTGGCGCATTTCCCGTTGCCGGCGACATCAAACTTGCAGCCGGTTCGGCCCCAAAAACGCCCTGACCAGCCAGACGGAGCGGTGAGTTGAAGAGATGATCCCGGCGGGAGGGAAAACCCGCCACCGCCGAGAACGGCGGCACCATTGGCAGATAGCGTTCCGGGCCAAACAGTGTGGTTGCAAAGGTTTTCGATGGTAAACACGGTGCCAGAAGATGTATTACCTGATAAGAGCAGGATGAGGAGGAGGAATGGAATGGTTTTTGTGGAAAGCGCCATGATTTTGTAAACGAATATTTGACTTTATATTCTTGATTTTGACGCTGCCTTTGGGATTGAGAGGGTAATGAAGAGTAGTAGTGAATCTAGTGATGGCTGTGGGTTCAGAAACTGACTTGAATTTATAAGATTTAGCATACCTTGACCCTTTGCGTTTCATTTTTGGGCGTATTTATGAAATTATTAAATTGGGGCCATATCTTTGTGGGAGCAGTTTAAGATTGTGGGTCATCTTGGGATGGGACGTCCAAAGACTGCACCGTTACCAGTCTTTGAAAGGCCTCAAATATGTGAACCATACAATAAGAAATTAAATACTGGCACCTTTACATGTAACTGCATCTCGTAACGAGTAATGACTAATGAACGAGTTTCTAATAAAAAAAAAAACCCTTTAAACAGGCCCACAGGGCACAGGGCGCAGCACAGAGTCTCAGCGCTAACTTGATTCCCAGGCTTCGTATACACTGGTGTGATTTACTCACGTAATGGTTGTTTGGTATACGAAATTTTTTTTTTTTTAATCCAGATAATAATTATAATTGAAATATAATGAGAAATATATTTCACTGAAATATTACTAAAAACCTATTTGGTAAGATCAATTTTTCTCGAAAAATTATGAATAAATTTACTGAGTGTATATTTAGTTGTGATATGTTTGTGAGAATGTTAAGTTATTTTACGAATATGCTATGACAAGTGTACGCAAAGCTTGCAAATACTTTTACACAGATTTTACAAAAATGAAGGTCACTTCCGTCAATTTTTTCGCGCCTAATGTTCCATTTCCCCGGGCAACAAAAGTTTGCATGTAATCAATGGATTTATTTGCAAACTGTCCGTCCATTACCTACACATATAAACAATTGCTGGGATTAATTCGTACTCTGGATTTTTTTTATCATTTTTGTCAACCAAACATGGATTTTGTATTTCTCCAACCTTGTTTTTCCTGTGAAGGCCAAATAATTCGGCTATCAAATGTCACCTATAAAAGTAATAATAAATTGTATAAGTAATAAATAACAATAGGACTACAAAATATAATAAACCAATATTAAAACTGTGTTTTATATAAGACACGAAAAAATTAAAGATGATGTAATCAAAATAAAATAAAATTCTAACAAAATAGAAATTCCCCTATAAATCCAATTTCAGTGACATATAAGTTTTTTTATAATTAAATCTCAATGAAATCAAGATGAAGTAATATTTTTTAATTTGTTCACCATTTTATTAAATATTGATAACACTTTATGTGTTCATTAGAGACACGCCTTCTTAAAACCTCATTAAGAAAAAATTCAATGAATAAAAAAAACTCAGTGTAAGAAAAAGTGTATATTATTGCTTTGACGATGGGCTGGGCCGGATGGTTTAGCATGTCCCAAAGATGCTTAGATGGTATCCGATGCCGTACAGAGCATTATGCAGCATTTTGTTAAGAATTTATTATTTTTTATTCCCAATAAAAATCTTAATTACCCATGTTTAATGAAAGAGATTCTTAAAATTTTTCTGAAAATATGAGATTATTAATAATTAAAATTGTGAATAAGAATCTCGTGAAATAATATCACCAGGTGGGTGGTGAGAAAATTTTACATAATTTATAGGACATAAATAATACAGCTTTAATATTTTCATGACTAAAATACACTATCTTTTTAAAACCCTAGCTTACTCTACTTCACAAAATCGTAGCCGAAGATAAACGTATCTCAAGCAGCTTGAGAAATTATATATATAGAGGTAAAATTATTTCTGCAGCTGCTTTACGTACAACAACGACAGGTGTATGGTTATGAGTACCCACATTTAATGCTTTCATCTTTTGTATGATTTTGATTCCCTGCATTTAACGCTTTCACGTATATATATGGCAAATATTTGATTGCTGCACGTACAACAGCTGCAAAAATGTAAACCCTATATATATATATATATATATATATATATATATATATATACATATAATATGAGGTAGGATCCTTTGACACTGGTGTCAAATTTCAATCTTGACACCTCATCTGAGAGTCGTTAGAAAAAAAAAGATTAATGGTGTCACATGCTTGCAAATCAGAGTCGTTGATCTTTTTTGATCTAACGACTCTCAGATGAGGTGTCAAAATTAAAATTTGACACCGATGTCAAATGATCCTACCTCATATAATATATATATATATATGGCCTTTATTAATCTCATGCAACAGGAGAGAAGCTCTCTTATGTTGTAGAGATAATCATGTGTGGGATCCATCCACCTATAAAAAAAGAAAAAAAAGTAACACGAAAATCAATGTATGTGTAGGAGAGAAAAATACTCTCCTGCAACGTAAGAGTATTTTTTCCTGTATATATATATATATATATATATATATATATATATATATATATATGGGAAATGATATTGTAACAACCAAGTTGTGTTACTACCATGTTACTACCAATCAATCTCTCACCGTTAGATCGATTATGTTGATCCAACGTTTATATTTATTTCCAGATTTGTATGGTCATGATTTTCCAAATTTAATACTTTATATTTATTTTTACCTTTGTATGGTTATGATTTCTCATATTTAATGCTTTCACTTTAAATATGGGGAATCATAATCATACAAATATGAAAATAAATATAACCGTTGGATCAATATAATTAATCTAACGGCGAGATTGATTGGTAGTAACATGGTAGTAACACAACTTGGTTATTACAATATCATTTCCCTATATATATATATATATTAAATATTTCAATCGGTTCATTACTTTACGATTAGACCGATTCGGTACTGGTTCAACATTAAGATTTTAAATACTTTCGAGAGATGATACTGTGAAGAATCAAACACATACTCTCATTACTGCTCAGCTCTTATGCGTCAACTAAACTATCATCATTTATTTGACATAACAATTTGGCACCCACCATTCCCAAAGAGAATTCTCCCCCTCCTATAAAACCCCTTATTACCATGAGAGAGGGATCTTCTCAATCGAATTGCATGTTGTTACTTTGTTAGAACCAAACGCAAACACACACCTCCTTCGTTGTATGGCTACTTTCTAAGTTTAGCACACTCAGATCCTCTATTAGAGCTTTAATTCTTTATATCACTGTAGCAATGAATCCTATTACAAAGACATAACCCATATTAGTTCATATATATATATATATATATATATATATATATATATATATATATATATATATAATCTTTTTATATTAGTGTAAGTTATATTCTTGTATATTTAACAACTTTGATTTATTTAGACATGTAAGCCGTTAGATACAAGTAAATTAGTGATCAAGATTTGATGTAAGATCTAATCTTGATCATTTAATTGTTCTCATATATTTAATAAATCATAACCGTTAGATATAAATAATATGAACGACCAAAATTGAGTGTATATATATAGGAGCGGACCTATTTGGTCACCCAACATGAATTTTTGATTTTTTTCTTTTTTTTAAGTATTACTATGCAGAAAGATTCATCAAGTATCTTGAATGTTCTTGTTCTTCATTTTTGGTAGGAGCTGATGTTAATCTGAAAAACAATGGGGGTCGCACTGTTTTACACTATGCTGCCAGCAAAGATTGGTTGAAGATTGTTGAAATACTGATCTCTCATGATGCCAAGATTAATCTAAAGGACAAGGTTGTAGCATGGACAGATTTGATACATATGTGGGAAGACATATATTTTATTGAATATTTTATAATGTTATACAACAAATCAGCTTGATTAAAAAAAAGTGTTGAGAATAATTTTTTATGTTAAGTTGAAGTTTTTTTTTTATTTATATTTTTTATTTTTTAATGCATTTGAAATTTTCTTTAAAATAGTTTTCGGGGGAGCTGCCCCGAACCCGCGTCACTAAATGTGCGGACATAAAATTTGTATTCTAGATCCGCCACTGTATGTGTATATATATATATATATATATATATATATATATATATATGGATGGCAATACTAAGTTTTGTCATCAATTGAGACAAAAAAATTGGTTTTTTTAGGAACGCCATTTTTTATGTATGAGTTGGAGATAAAAAAATTCTCCTACAACTGGAGAAACTTTTACCCCATATAAATTTTTTTATGGTGCAACTTCATAAATCATATAAGATTCATTTTTTCTGCCGTGAATGCAAATAAATTTGTTCGGTAGTTTTGGGACAAAAATTAAGGTATTTTTGTAATTTTAATTTATTACAATATTATGATAGTCTTTATCATTATAATTTTTTAATCTTTCAACCCAAAATGATGTCTTTTTGAACGTAAATGGAGATAACTTATTTGCATTCACTATATAAACATTAAACCTACATATACATATACATATACATATATATATATATATATGTATGTATAAGGACAAGATCTTTTACACCGGTGTAAGATTAACAAGTCTTACACTACATCTCAACCGTTGATGGACGGAAATCATCGATTGGTATTTCTAGTGTAATTAATGATTAATTAATATTAATTAATTCATTTGACTTCCTAAATTATAACCGTTGGATACACAGAAATCAACGGTTGAGATATGGTGTAAGATGATCCTGATCCACACACGCACATATATATCTATATATATAATCAAAGAAGGGAAATCATACCCTTATGTTGCTGGAAAAAAGTTATCTTATATCACCTATTATAATTATGTGCTCTCCGAAATACATAGTTATAATAGGTGACATAAGATAATTTTTTTTTCAACAACATAAGAAAAAAAGGACCCTTAATGGAAATATAATTTCTATAATACATGAGATAAAATTATCTTATATAGCACACATAAAAATAAATATAACTCGTGTGTTACATAACATGATAAACTTATTTCCTTTGATTAATCTACTATTTTTATTTCGGTATTTGAGTGTGTTGGATATTTGTTATACCCCAATTTTTTAATTGATTTAAAATATGTTTTGATTATTACAATCAATTTAATGTTAATTTAATTGATAATATTTTATTGTCTTGAAATTACTAATGAGCTGATTGTTTGAGATTTCATAATAGTATTTATTCTGATTTGAATTAGTATTCAAGATAATATGAAGATTGCATGAAAATTGGAGAAGATATGAAAGATATCATGAAGAGAGAGAAAAGCATGGAATCAAGTAAAGATTAGGATAGATTTTATCTTTTTAGATTTCATGTAAAAGAGAAATAAAATATTCTTTGCCAAAGATTTAGATTAGGATTGCATTGCATAATAGAATAAGATATTTAAGGTTTACATATCTTTCATTTGAAAAAAATCAGAAATCTTATTTTTGATAATTGCATTTAAAATTTCATTCAAGAGTAAAAGATTTCTGATTAGATTTTGAAAAAGATTTTAAATTTAAATATTATACCTTTTGGGCTTTTAGGAAAGAGAAAATGTTATTATTATAAATATGGCTCATTGCATATTATTCTTAAGATGATAAAATACAATATTCACAAGAGGAGAAAACACAAGAGAGAATAAGATTTTCAAGATTTGATTCTTTCTTGTGCATCAAATTGAAGAGTTTTCTCAAGAACATTCATTCATACATTCATCACTTGGCAAAATGAATATTCCTCCATAGGAATTCAAATTACCTATCTGCTTATTCAAGAAGCACATGGTATTTCTATTATTAAATCTTTTTGTTAGCTTAGAGTTAAGCTATTGTGCGTGAGATTGATTCTGTCTGAGTTGACAGAAGGTGAGTTATTGGTGAAGTGTCATTTGGGTGGCTGAGTAGTCATTCAGATTTAGGTGTGAATTATATAAGGGTAGTGTAGGGCTAACCTTGTACTATTGTTTTTGGCTCTTTTAGTGAAGTGTTTTTGATCAATTGGAGAGTTTATCCATATTGGTGCGTGGGTTTTTACTACTCTTGAGCCAAGGAAGTTTTCCCACGTGAATTGCTGTGTGATTCTGGTATCCTTTATTTTCTATTGATTATCTTTGGAAATCTGTTTTTGTTTTAAAAAGAGGAGAAAATTTTATAAATTCAATTCACCCTCTCTTGAGTTCATCTGGGACCAACAGAGTGTTTGTCAGAAATAACATGAGTTTACCTAGAAAAATAAAGGGGAAGAATCTATTTACAAATTTTTGCAGCAAATTACAATATGTATTTCCGAAAATTCATAGTGTAACCTAGTATACTTTCAAGAGTATATAGTGTAGTTCGTAAACAAAAAATTCATAAATATAATTTTTTCCAAAAGCAAAAATGAAAGAGAAATCGAAGAAAAGTTTGACCATTTTGGAAGAGGTGAGAAGCATCTCCTTCTCGAACGCTGATGTTGGTAATGATGTGTCAATTAAATTTAATATATCTAAAACAAAAAATAGTAAATTAAAAAGTCGAGAAGTTGACCATTTCATGAATTGATGGCATTTTTTTTTGTTAGCGCTAGCAGCCTGTTAGTTTATTAACCTATTGAACTGTGTCTAGAACCATGAGATTTGAACTTTTTCTTTAAATTAAGTTAATGTTTATATTTTTTTAACTTATTTACATTCACAAATGACTCGACGTTAGAGAATTGAGTAGGTGAGTTGAGAGTATGTATTCGCTCCTTTTTAATATCATCTTTAGGAAGAGTTTAGAATCTTAATCCTGAAACCTGTCCTGAATTGAATTAGTCACGAAACGATAAATGGACTGGAGTATCTCCAATAAAAAAACATTTACATCCACAAAGAAATGTATCTTGTCCTTCAAGAACTTACACATTTCAAGGATATTGATATTTTCATATTATTTATCATAATTTATTATTTAATTTTTATATAATGATTGATTTCATTTCTACTTATGCAATTTATTGTTTATAGGTTTCGTATGGAAAGTAATCACATATGGGAAGAAGTGTAATGCATAATGTTATAATTTTTATGATATTGTTCATTCAACCTACGGGTTTACACTTCATTTTAAGAGCGTACAAAATTGACCGTTAATATTAAAAAATCATTGGTAATTTCCGCTGATTGAGAAGTTTAGGAGGTTTCAACTTGCATTTTAATTAGATCATATTTAAATTTAGTGCCGTTAACATTAACGATTAAAGGAGGTTCTCAAATAGTAAAATTGATACAATCATGTCTAGGACAATCATCTCAAATGGTCTGACGAGATGAAAGAACAATTTCTTACCTTCCTAAAATTGCAGCACCATGGAAAAAAAAATTTTGGGGTCAAAAAACAAAAATGTTAGAAGAACTATCATTCGTTTAGGATTTGTTTTTGGGGTTTGCATCTATCATGTCACATGACACATTTTTTTTCTACACATATAATATTTTGTGGGGCCTGCACTTTTTAAAGCAAAAATAAAAAATAAAAAATTAAGGCACGCAAAACGAATATCTAATGACATTACAATCACTTTTCCTACAACATAACTCTTACAAATTTTTTTTTTTTTAACTGTACAATCTCAATTTAGAAGTCATCAATTAAGGCTTTACACACTCTGTATCCATACGTTTACCAAAGAAAAAAAAAAAAAAAAAAAACTCTCTATCCATACAGAGTCATTACATTTGATAAAGACGAAGGTGGACCTAATCAAATATAAGGAGCAGCAGCATTATTTTTTTACATCCAAAAAAATATATATATATAAGGAGGAGGGTATGAAAAAAACAAAATTATGCAGCCAAAGAACCTCAGTGATAACTTGATTATTCTGGTGTCCAAGTTCTAAGTCTTCAACTTGGCATTGTGTCTAGATTGCTTAGCCGAACCCTCATCGCTTTTCGAAGAAGAGTTATGTGTAGCCTTCCTTTGCCAATGCATTTCCACGTAGGACTTAAGGAAGTGCACAAGAATAGCAACATTCAACACAGAATTGAAAACCCAAGCGCCGATTCCATTGCACCCTCCTCTCAAAAAATGCAACGAAAGCACCCCAACATGGCACACCAAGTTACAAACCAATAACAACATCTGGCAATTCACCGTGAACGAAAAGGATTTGCCAGGTAACCCAATTTCTGTCAAGAATCTGTACCCATAAACCATGGAATAAACCAATGTTGAAAACAGTATAGCCAGCACCTGAAAGGATTGTGAAAACTCCAGCCATAGGAATGACATGAGAAGAAGAATAGAGTGATTAAATAACCTGAAAAATGAGAGCTTTCGGTGACGCAAAATGATGAAGAATGTCCTTAACAGGTGGAGAAAACGAGAGAGATAGAAAACGTAGGACCAAAAGAAGACACGACCAGAGGGACGAATACCAAGTGGGAAACAGAGTAACCATTCAAAAGGGGTTGTTCTGGTACGCTGCCATAGCCAGCGAGTGTCTTGTACTTCAGCATAGGAAGAGAAGAACATGCCAATAAATATGGTGACAGAGATTAAGGACATGGCGATACTGTGGATTGCGGGGATGGGCCCCAACGGGATAGGGCGGCTGCAACGGCAGAATTTGAGGATGAGGTAAAGGGTTACGGCGGCGGCGATGTAAAAGGAGATGGCAGAGATGAGGAACCACCACGTGGAGCCCCATGATTGGGTAGGACTCCACCGGAACGATACAATAGAAGGGTGCTCTAATAGCCAATATTTCAGACTCTTCATTAGTGAATGTGTTTGTGCAAATTTCTTGCAACCTTCGGCTTTGTATATATTCTCCTGTAAGAAATACTTTTGAAACTGAAAATTATGAGCGTGGAATTGGGATTATATAATTTGGACCGCCAAAGTTGAATCCACAATCACAAGATTTGGTTGTGTTGTACACTAGACTTTAGTTATATATTTCTTTGGTCTTGACTAACGTTATAGCCTTTGTTCGAATTTTCTTCGCATCATCGTCTAGAAGACTAGAAGGATATGACAAAAATGCAAAATGTGAATCCAAAAGCTGTTCGAATTAGCTCATAGCGTTCGCATTACGGCCTCTTCTTTTGTTTTAATTCTTTGGTCACTGTCCAATTGACGAGGAGATGGGATCAAATTTAAAGCTAACATTAATCAAAATTCAGGTATACGTCCAACGTTGACCTATCGTTCTAAAAACATTGTGGAGATAATTTTATTCTTTTTTTTTTTTTTTTATCGTCAAACGCACAAGAGATTATTTATCATAGCTAGCAAAGTTCAAAGGAAGGCTAAACAACCAAAACACCCAAGAAGGAGAATTATAACTTTTAAGAGCCGTAAATTATATTACCTAAGTTTTAAGAACCCCGTTGAGTCAATAATTTGGGTTTAGTTATTGGCTTGAAAGCATGTTATTTCCTTATAATTCTACATAATGTTAAATCTTTTAAAATTATTCATAGCTTTTTAGACACTACTTTATAATTTTTCATTAAAATATTAGATATTTACATATGTATGTACGCGGTGCGGCTCAGATTTTGGGCGTAGAATTCTAAAACCGAGTTCTCAATCGCAAAGGTACATGTTTGTGTACGTATCTTAAAATATATTATGTTAGAAGGAACTCTAACAAATCAAGGTAGGGCATCTGTTATAAATTTAATATTTGATTGAGAGAATGACCGATATAATATAATTTTTTAAAAAAAAAAAATTAAAACAATATAATTTACGATTTTTTTTATCAAAGTAATATAGTTTAATTATTTTTTATCTCGTAACTCATAAATATGTACTGTACTAATATATATATATATATATATATATATATATATATATATATATATGACATGTGAAATCATCATATGATTAACAATTGTCACGTTTGTGGGGCATATGATAAAAAATAATGATTATGTCACTTTGATAAATTATATTAGTTTAATTTTTTTTAAAACTACAAAACATTGGTCAACTTTGATTCTTCCGAAACAAGGCATCCACATGGTATATGTTGTTATTTTAAATTATAGTTTGTATTATAAAATAGAAAAAAGTTCAAAAAAAAATTATGTGGTATTGCTTTGAATCACTTATACCCTATATTTTTTTTTAATCACTTAATTTTCTGTGTTTTTTTTCATTCATACCTCTCCTCAAAACATTATTAATATACCTATTCTATCTTTCTTAGAAGAAGAAAATAAAGTGATAAAGATCTTTGGTCTATTTATTCTTTTTATTTTATTTTTTTTTTGTATGGTCTATTTATTCTTTTTATTTAGATATGTTTGATTTTTTTTATATTCCTATTTTATACTCTCTCTTTTAAATTTTTTTTTTCAAAAAGATTTAATAGATGGGATGACACAAGACTAAAAAAAATTGAGAAGAAAATCATAATAAAAAAGACCAGAAATTAAAAAAAAATCAAACATATCTAAATAAAAAAACTAAATATATTTGAAACTTATAACTGTGATTTCTTTTTATTCTATTTATTTTATATTTTATTTTATCTTAATTTTTTCTTCTAGTTTTTTTGACTTTAGTATGTTTTTTTTTTCTTTGGACTATTTTCATTTTTTTTAATTTTAGTCTTTTCTGTCACTGTTGTGATTTTTTTATATATTTGATCTTATTATTTGTGTGGATAAACCACAGGTATTCTCCACAAGAAGTAATCCTATTTGGGACGGGTTCAGAATTAAAGCTTTAAAGTTTAAATCCCTCTCAAATATGGTACTCGGGAGGATTGAGCACATAGTCTCACAATCATCTGCTCAACTCACATGCGTCAACTAAGCTACCATCTTTTGATTTCTTCTATTTTTTTTGTTCTTATTCTATTTTATTTTATTTTTATTTTGACACATTCGATTTTTTTTACTGTTTTTTTTAGTCTTTTATTAAGTGTTCTAAATTTTCGTAATAGTTGGTCTTTTTTTGTTATCACTTTATTTTTTTCTTCTAAGAAAGGTAGAATAAGTATATTTAGTTAATTTTCTAACAATATTAAGGAGAGATGTGGATGTAAAAAACCACATGGGGTTAAGTAATTAAAAAAAAGCACAAGGGGTGAGTGATTCAAAGCAATACCATATGGGTTTTTTTTTTGAACTTTTTCCTATAAAATATTATGAATGACTTTTCATATGCTTTTTAATAACATACAATTTTTTTGCTTTTTTATTACCTTTGTTGTATTTTATAACCACCAGATTAATAATGTTTTGAATTATTTTATTAGAGTCCTATATAAAGATATGTCTTATATATATGGAAAAGATGTGTGCTTGGTGAATTCATTATATATTATTATTTCCTTACTTTTAAGTTTTAATAGCTCATCCTTGTTCTTTCTTTATTTATTTTTCTCTACTTTTTATTTTTCATTCTCTTATATTCCCTATTAATTTCACAACCATCTTGTCCACCTATTGCCAATTCTAAGTCTAAATATTTTCATGACTATTTATAGATTTAAATTATAAAAAAATAAGGGCTTACGTGATGCATTTTATTATATCATCATCATCATCCTAACTCAACCCAAACTCTTTTGGCTGAGTTGACAGAGACATCTTTTGAAATTCATTTAAATTGTTTTATGTAAGCGCATTTTCATAAGCTAAAAACTTGAGTTTGTGGAAAGAAGTTTTTGTAAAAGTTGAAAATAGCTTACAAGATAGTCATAATTTTATTATGATTTATGACGAAATAAACATAAATATATTATCAAAACTTTATTCATGTATATAAACATTTGTTGAAATATAATTTAGGATATAAGGTATCGGGTTTAACTTATTTTGAACTACCTTTGTAACTATAGAGTTTATTTACCAAAAAAAAAATATAGTTTAGTTAAAGGAAAATTATACTCTAATGTTGTATGAAATTCATGTCTCATATATCATTCATATAAAAAGATATGTCTCTTTTTTTTCAAAAATAAAATAAAATTGATGGGCTTCTCTTTATTAGTCTCATTACATAAGATAATTTCTCTCTTATTACATGAGAAAGGTAAAGTCCTTACTTAAATAATATAAACTACTTTTAGTTGTTTATCCAAACAATACCTATGAAATAATAAAAAAATGTAAGTTTTAACTTGCCGTTATTTTTTCTCTTCATCTTTATTTTACCTTCTCAAATGTTAAAAAAACATTTTTTATGTTCCCTTATTTTTTTTAAAATACTAAAAGGAATTGTACTAGTATTAAAAAGAAAAATTGGGGAGAAGGTATCCCACCGCTCCCTTTAGGAAGGGGGAAATATGGAATAACAAGCAGAGTACAATTGAGGATTGGACCGTGCTCTCAGCATAATACAGTATTAAAAAATAAAATAAAAAAGATTTCCCAACTCCTCCCCCTACTCATTTCGTTTTGTGATTTGATTGCTTACAAGCCCAATGCTTGTTCTTGACATTCACCGAAATTTATTATTACTTGCTACTTGTATCATTTTCTTCTTTTATTTTTGAGTGTGTTAAAAACAAAATATTTTTAATTTTTTGAGTGTGTTACTAGACTTAAGACAATTTGGATGCAGTATTTGAAATAAAATTATAAATAAGGAAATTATTAAATATTGAAGTATAAAAAAACATTTTTAGGTATAAAATCACAAAAAAAATGTAATTTTTTTTAGTTGACAATAGGGTAAAAAGTATTTATAAATTAATAAAATCCAAATTTATTTTAATTTTATTTATTGGCACTTTAATATTATTTAATTAAAAAGTTTGTGAAATTTTAGAAAAATTATGGCAAGAGTAGATAAAGGTGTCACTTATAAAAACAACTTTAAATTTAATTAATTTCTTTAAATCTAGCTTACAAGAAAAAATCTTTTGCTGCGGATAATTAGGACATCAAAAGCACCTCAGAAACTTGGTCAGCTCCTGTAAGCTGTATATGCACCTTCAACCTTTTTGGCAAGGTTCTATCTTTCAGGCTCACATTATAATTTGAAAAGATGGTCAAAACCACACTTCCCGTATGAAGGGTTGTCAGCACAGTTCCAATCACAGCATTTTCATAATGGATGAAGCTAGAGATCATGTCAGAGTCAGTTTTCTGATACACAGGATCCCTTTGCAGGGCAAGTGTAGAGAATACTAACTTCCTCATCCAGAGATTAGTAATTATAGTAAGAACATTATAGATGTTGCAGCCGATCCTCAACTGTATCCATCTGATTGCAAATCTTTTCAACCTTAGTGTCAAGTCTTTTTAGAATAGAATTCTGGGCTTGAACATTTTCAGTCTGCCAATTGAGAACTTCTTCAGCTTGGCTTAATGGCTTGATCAGCTTTCCATCTGGCTGGACTTCTCCTTGCTTAATCACAAGTTTGGTGGTTGCGTAAATAAAACCTTTGAAACGTACCCAATAATAATAATAATAAAACCTTCGAAATTTGTTTGCCTATCAAAATGTTCAAAGACAAGTCTTCAATTGTATGTGATATAAGTAATTTAAATAATTCAAATCAATGTTATAATAGGATCAGGTTTTATTCAATGAATTACATTAGAGCATGCGAGGATTGTATAATTGTTAAATTGTGTTAATATATTGTATGGGAGAGGTTATAGTAACTATAACCTCCCTCATATTGTATACATGACTTGATTTTGTATTCTCTCAAAATTAAGACATTCAAGTGCTTCAAATTATTTTTGATGTCACTATATTTGTTTCTTAATTTTAACTTAATGAATGAACTCCGGTAAAAAATAAAATAAAATATTATAATTTAAATAAAAAAATGAAATTGCAGTAGTTTAAAATCTATTTATAATGTGTAGCAACCATTTTAGGTGTAACTAGCTGTGCCCAAATCCTGACGTGATAGGGGGACAATTACACCAAAATTTGGGTGCAACTCACATGAGTATAACACGTGACACAAAATTTGGACGCAACCGATCACGCCCAATTTTAGATGTAATAGGAGGGGAGTTGCCTCCAAATTTGAGCGCAACTCACACGAGGATGACATGTGACACAAATTTTGGAAGGCCATAACTTTTAGTTTGAGTGTCCGAATCGGGTACTTTTTTGTTGATTCCACGTATCTTTTTGAAATCTACACGTCGTCAAAATCACATGATTGTCTAATTACACAACTTGTTAAAGAAATTACACAAACGGTCCTTAATCCACAAATCCTATATATAATGCAGAGATCCTGACAGCGTACAAAATTTTGGATACAGATATCTAATTCTTAACAAGTTGAATAAGTGTTACATAATCTCTTAGTCCATTGAAATAATGAGTCACAATTATTTGTTATTGTTGGATAGTCAGCGAAAAATAAAAAATGAAATTAAATAACACAATTCACATAGATAAAATGTGCCAAACAGGCATAAGAAAACATCTTTCTTGAAAAGTCATGTGAAATAAAAAATTTATATATGATTCTGACACCCGAGTCAAAAGTTATGGCGTTATAAAGTTTTAGAGTAAAACTTCCAAAATTTTATGTCACATGCCATCCTCGTGTGAGTTGCGCCTAAATATGAACGCGACCACCCCCTACCATGCCTAGATTTGGGCGCGACCAATTCTTGGCGCAACTGGATATTATACACTCATTCATAAATAGGTTTCAAATTGCTAATTTTTTGTAATTTTTATTTAAATTATAATATTTAATTTTTTTTGCTAGTAAACTCTGTCACTTATTTATTTTATTTTATATATCTTCCTATAATCCATCTTAAATCGCCCATTAAACTAAGAGGAAAATATTTCTTATTTTAAAGTACACAAATCTGTATTGAAACTACTCTATTTTGGTGTATGTTTAATAATTTTTTATATTCTCTCTCCTCAACCTAGTCACATAAAAAGGTGCAGTTTTGTGAAAAAGAAAAGAAAAGAAAACCACCAAAAACAATAATTTTAAATGAAAAAGTTATATTTATCACATTTTTTCTTACTATCTCTTACTATTAATTTTGCTATTGTTGGATTGGAATTAAATCAACAGCTCTCACTTGATATTATTTTGTAACAATTAATTTAATTTTGATTCAATAATTATAAAATATCTTATGTAGAGATATAATTAAGTAGATTTCACAACTAAAAAAATGAACTGCTGGTTTGAATTTTGATAGATGTATAACATAACATAAACTTTAGAGTAAACACTCCTTTTGGTCCCTGACAATATCTACGAAATCCTTTTTAGTCCCTCGCAATAAAAAAGGACCAAATTGGTCCTTAAAATTATGAAAAAGGGTCATATTAGTCCTTATGTCAACTCCTCCGTCACTAACGTGGCCCTTTTTACATACTGTTAGGGATCAATTTGGTCATTTTTTATTGTCAGAGACTAAAAATAATTTCATAGATATTGTCAGGGATAAAAAAAGGTGTTTACTCTAAACTTTATTATATAACATGAAGAAAACATTTTCCTATTTAAAATGACGTTAACTTTAAAATTACAAACATTTTAATTCAGTGATTTGATATGAATTCTTGAAGTTTTATGCAGCTACCAAACACACAGGATCACGCATAAAAAAGAAAAAAGAAAAAAAAAAAAAAAGGGTAGAAGGACAGAATCTTCTTCCTTCTGTGTTTTATCGTAGCAACTTAAAAGTTATCGCATCACAAAAATGATATCGTCTCAGACTCTCAGCCTCCGCCTTTCTCTGATCAGTTTTGACTTTTGACTTGGAGGATCCATCGGTTTTTGGTTTCTGCAGGTTCGTAACTTATTTTGTTTTCCTTTTCTGAATCTGGATCCCTTTCTTTTCTTTTCTTTTTTCTTCACCACGTCTTTCCTTTGTCGTTTTGGTTTTCATCTCCTTGGTAGTTTTGAGAAATGATAGACTTCATAATTGGCTATTTTCGAAACTAGATCTGGGATTCTGGGTGTTTGAATTTTACTGGGACTTTTTTTGTTCTTATTTATCCATGTTTGTTGTTTTCTTTCTGCTAAGCGTAACTTTTTCAAACACTTTCTTTCAATTCCGTCCATCAAAACAGCTGCATCGGTGACTGTGTCTTTGAAACAATGGAAGGAATTTTTTATTCAGGAATATCACATATAAAATCTTAAATCTTATATTATTTTTTATCCTAAGGGCATATATATATATATATATATATATATATATATAGTATTTGGTAGAAGATTTATTTTGGGATTGATGGGAAAGTGTTAATGAATATTGGAAAATATCATATTTGGTTTAGGTTTTTGAAAAAAATACTAAGAAAACATGATAGATGGAGAAATGACTTTTGTGTTGATTTTTGGATGAAATCCACTGTTACAGAATACCACTTGAGATGTAGTATTTTGAGATAACTGGAGAAGAAAAAAAACAGGTGCGAAGTTTCTTCCGAACATAGATTTTGCAAATTTAAATAAATTTTTCCGGTAATATTTTGGTCAACCAAACAACTTTTTTTACCTTCTCCTACCAAAATCACTTTCTAACCATTTTCTTAGTAATTACATTTTCCTAGTATTCAAAAAAAATTTCCTCAACCAACCGGCCCACTAAGGTAGTGTTTGGTTGAAGAGAAATTTTGTAATATTAGGGAAATGTAAATATTAGAGATCTGCAGGGAAATTGAGTTAGATAGAAAAATTTTAAAAAAGTTGTTTGGTTGAGTATAATTTTACCAGGAAAATTGAGTGAAATTCCTGAATGTGTGTTTGGTTGAAAATAAAAATTTGATGGGGAAATAAATAGAATTTACGAAAGCAACCTTTTTTATAAAATTTTGTACCATTGCAACATATAAGAAGAGGGGTATTAATGTTATTGTATTTACTCACTTTTTCATTTCTCCAGTTTCTTACAAGAATATCATGTCTCAAACAGCATTCATCAATAGTGTTTTTTACCTTATTAACACACATTTCTACTTAGATAGACAAATGTGTTTGATGGATAAAAGTTATAAAATCTTTCAACCAAACAAAGAGAACAAGGATTGGCACATGCAATTAGACGGGAAAATTTTGAGAATCCCTCAACCAAACACTACCTAACATATAAGTTGTGTAGGTATCTGAAGGTTGGGATTTTACAGATGGCAAGTGGGTTTGGGGAATCAACAAGCAGGACACCCCCAAGCCCTTTCTGCTCCAACAACAACAATAATAACAACGATGCTGGCAACTTTGAATGTAACATTTGCTTTGAATTAGCACAAGACCCAATAATTACTTTGTGTGGTCATCTTTTCTGTTGGCCTTGTCTTTACAAATGGCTTCACTTCCACTCACACTCGCAAGAATGCCCTGTGTGCAAGGCCCTCGTTGAGGAAGAGAAGCTGGTTCCCTTATATGGGAGAGGAAAGACATCAACTGACCCAAGATCAAAATCTATTCCAGGTCTTAATATCCCACATCGTCCCTCTGGTCAGAGACCTGAAACTGCTCCACCACCTGAATCAAATCATTTTCATCAACATGGGTTTGGATTTATGGGTGGGTTGGGTGGGTTGAGAGGGTTTCCGCCGCCGCCAATGACAACCGCAAGATTTGGGAATTTCACATTGTCTGCTGCATTTGGTGGTTTTATACGGCGGCCATCCTTATTTAACTTTCAGTTCCATGGGTTTCATAATGGGACCATGTATGGTGGAGCAGCTGGTTTTCCTTATGGATTTTCTAATTCATTTCATGGCTTCCATGCTCATAGTTATCCTCTGCACGCACGTCAAGGGCAACAAGATTATTTTCTCAAGCTACTGCTTCTCTTTGTTGTTTTCTGTCTCGTTCTTGCTTTTATTTCGCAACAGATAGTATAGAAGCTCAGACTGCTAGTAGTAGAACCAAACTTCTTCTATTTTAGATCTTCTGGTGCGCTCTTTGTTTAGTAAGTAAGGAAATTGTTCATATAATAATCTCTCATTATGTGAGACTTGACTTGCGTGATATCCATATAAAAAGTTGGATATCTAAAGCATGAAAGCACGCATTAAATGTTAATTTAATGGCTACTATACTGAGTTTGAGACTACGAGGTAGCAGAACTAGTGAAAGTATGCCTTTTCTCTACTTTCCTTTCCTTTTGTATTTTCATTTACGTATTGATATACTGATGTTATATTATTTTGATGCATGCTACTTTCATTATTCACAATCCGGATTTAAGGGTTATGCACTTATACTTATTATTGGTTTTCACTAGATGTGGGTTTGCGTGCATTTGGTGGTATTTACATTCAGATTGTTTTGGTGCTGTAATTTTTGTTATATGACCACGGATGGCTTTTTATATTTTAATAAGATGAGTATATAGAAATCTAAGGACCTTGGAAACTAGTGGCCTATTTTTTCATGCAAGGTGGATTTATTTTAGGAGGGAGAATATTCTCACTACCAAAATTTTTCACTACCAACTTACTACCTATCTAATGACTATTGGATCAAAGATAGAGAATGCTAAAAAAAATTTGAAAAGAGAGAAAATATTAATCCAATGGTGATTAGATAGGTAGTAAGTTGGTAGTGGAAAATTTTGGTAGTGAGAATATCCATCCTCTTATTTTATATGGATTAATGTTTATTTTGATTTAAGAAGATTTGAGCCTGTTTGCAGTACATTAAAATTAGACATGTAAATGATAAAATTGACATTAGTTGACAAATAAAAACAACCTTTTCAGAATGATCCTGCTGTTTTAAGTGGACATGTAACTCTACATGGAGATTCTCTAACAACCTTATTATATCTCTACTCTCTACTTGTCCTTTTGCTCATTTTGTGGTTCCTAAGTGCTTGTCTGATTATCATCATTGTAAAATGTTATATCCGGCTTTATTTCAATAGCACTTTTGATGTATATACTGCCTACTTTTTCAGTTTTGAGTTTTTGGTTAAACATAACAATTGTCTGAAGATGATTTTTTAGCTGTATACACTTGTCACTAATAAGACATATATGGTTGTATATTACAAATTTCGTTCATTCTTCTCGTGTTCTGTTAAGCAGAACATGCCATTTTTCACTCTATGCGTCTTTGAGCTTGATTATAATAGTCTCTGTCCTAAGAGCGAGCCAATCACACAACTGTATCGCTTGAATATCACGTCTTGGTTTTCTGTCAGTCAAGCTGCTTGGTTATTATGTGTTCTTACGATCAATTGTCATAGATGGAGGGTTACCTTTTACCTACAGGACTTATTGTGTTTGGCTTATTATGGTTAGTATGTGTTGGGCTTGGGACACGACTTATTATCCTACAGGAGCTGTAATGTTTGAACGAGGGTTTTTGACTGTACTGATGCATCTTTCAATATATTCCACTGGTTTAGTTCGTTGCTTGAATGTATTACTGATATAATGCAGGAAGACACGCTTCAAGTGTGTGCACGTTTAATCGCGCACCTCCCAGATGCCCGTATCGAGCCGTGAAAAAAGGAAGGGTTTGAACACGTTAATGGTGTGTGGGCGTTTCTTGAAAAGTCTGTCCTTTTGAGACACGTTTTGAACCCATCAAATTCGGTTGAAATCTTTGTATCAATCACTTCCACTTGAAACCTTTGCAATGCCAAAGCATAGGGGGAAAAAATGACTGTTGATGGAGAACTGAGAGGGGAGATGAACGGGGAGAGCAAATGAGGGAGAGGTAGGGGAAGAGGAAAGGTTGAAAATTTTAGGGACAGGAAACACGCTATGTTACAATGCACTTTTATGTGTGTTAGGGACGCGGTCCAATAATAGACGCATCAGAGACGCGGTAACACCAGTTGTGCGTCAGTGTCAAAGACGCGGCTGTCTCAGCTGCGCATCGGAGCCTGTCAGCAATTCGTTACCACTAGGGGTGAAAATGGGCTGGGCTTGACCAAACTTTGTCCCGAAAAGCCCAAGCCTACGTCAAAAAAATTCAATTTGGCCTGACCCAAGCCTAGTATGAGTCTAACTGTTAGTCTGGTTTGACCCGTTTATAAAAAAAACAAATGGCCTGGCTTGGCCCGTTAGCCTGTTAATTTTTAACTTCCAAGCAGAACCATGAATCAACTTTACAAAGTACTCAAATTCAGTTGCTACACCAAAAATCATAATTTCAACGTCCAAACAGAATCATGAATCATAACAAAACTCATACAATATGCACTTAAGTCATTTTCGAAAGCAAAATGCTCAAAGTAAATAACATATATTTCATCAGATCCAATAAACAAATCCATACTATGTAAATTAAAATATGTTGTAAATAGTAATTATGTAGTCATTTATTAGTAATTATGTAGTCATTTATTTGTATTTATTTAGTCCGTTACTTGTATATTGGGCCAAGCCCATTAGGTCAAAATTAGGTCAAGAAGTCTCTATAAATAGAGACCCCTATGTACAGATTCAAATACGATTCAATAATATTTCAAATACCCTTTTATTTCAACTTGGTATCAGAGCTCTCGATCCTGAGGGCTCTGCTTCCGCGCCTATTGTCTTTAGAACAAGAACCTTTTATTCTTTTTGTCTCTCGCTGCCATCAGCCGCCACCGGATTTTTTCCGGGGACCTCTTAGACCGAGAAGATCTCTGTTATACTGGATCTCTGTTACTGTTCATCGTCTCCATTATTCTTCATCACAAGACAACATCTGTTCATCACAATTGGACCCTTTCCCGGTGGTTTTTCAACTCCGAACAGACCTAGAAAGAACCGCGCTCACCGGACGACGTTGCTCCAGAAATTTCAGACCAGACGGCCACCCACGCGCCGCCCCTTCAACCGCGAGTGAAGCCCACGCGCAGCCAATCTCACCGGCGCGTGGCGGCGCGTGAGATCATTTTTCCGGATCGGACCACCGCGATCTTGATCTTCCCTTCATCCTCTTTCTGGATCTGTGCTCCTCTCTTTGATCGGACATCGTTTGGTATTTATTTGTGATTTTTTGGCTTCTTGGAGCTTTTTTTTGACCATTTTCTGTGCAGTATGGCCTCTTCTCAAAGGAGTTCTTTTTCAAAATTTTATGATGGTACCTCTTCTAGACCTAAGAGAGATGATCGATGGTGTTCTTATTGTAAAAGAACAGGTCATATCAAGGATTTATGCTTTTGCCTTTATGGAAAGCAATATGTCTTAGAAAAGATGGCAAAGTTGCGTGGTCAAGCGCATTTTACTTCCTCTGAAATAACTCCTACACCTAATAAGACCCAACCTACATTTTGTCCAGATGAGTTGGAACGGCTCCGAATCATTCTTGATTCTATGAGTAAGCCATCTGATACTAGTGTTTTGACTATGACTGGTATGAGCTCCAAAACTTATTCTTTCATTTCTTCATGTAATGATTTTAAACATTCTTGGGTTGTTGATTCTGGTGCTACTGATCATATGGCTTGTTGTGCTGACTCCTTTACCTCTTATCATCCTACCATTGGAACTCATACAATAGCCGTAGCTGATGGCTCTCATACATCAGTTGCGGGATCTGGTGACATAAACTTACAGCAGTCCTTACATCTTAAGGATGTTCTTCATGTTCCTAAACTCTCCACGAATCTTCTTTTTATTCATAAAATTACAAAAGATTTGAATTGTACTGTAACCTTCTATCCTACCCATTGTGTTTTTCAGGATCTCGCCACGGGAAAGACGATTGGTAGTGCTAAAGAGCAAGGTGGGCTGTACTATCTGGTGTAACAATCTCCTGCAAATAAAGTAACAAATCACATCTTGATGTCTCATGGTCAATCAACTGCTGATTCTTTGATTTGGCTTCATCATAAGCGCTTAGGTCATCCTCCATTTAGTTTACTCAAATCTTTATTTCCGTCATTGTTTTTGTCTAAATCTGTTGAGTCTTTTCATTGTGATGTTTGTGAATTTGCTAAGCATCATCGTGTGTCTTTTCCTTCTAGTATTATTAAGAGTGTTGAACCTTTTGATCTTATTCATTCTGATGTTTGGGGTCCCTCTAAAGTCCCTCATGGTTCTGGAAATAGATGGTTTGTTTCTTTTACTGATGATTGCACTCGTGTAACTTGGGTGTACTTAATGCGTGAAAAGTCTGAGGTACCACAACTGTTCTTTCAATTTTATAAAATGATTGAGACCCAGTTTGATAAAAAACTCAAGAGACTAAGAACAGATAATGGTACTGAATATGTTAATCATAATTTTTCCCAATTTATAAGAAATAACGGTATGATTCATGAACTTACTTGTGTTGACATCCCCCAACAGAATGGGGTTGCTGAAAGAAAAAATCGTCACCTTCTTGAAGTGGCTCGTGCATTAATGTTTCAGACACATGTACCCAAATACTATTGGGGAGATGCTATTCTTACTGCAGCATTCTTGATCAACTGTTTACCCACTCGGGTACTTGACCATGTACGTCCTATTCACTCTATGACTTCTTTTTTCCCTTCTATTCCAACTATGATGAGTCTTCCTCCACGAGTGTTTGGGTGTGTTGCTTTTGTTCATGTTCATAAACATCATCGCAGTAAGTTGGACCCTAGGGCTATTAAATGTGTTTTTCTTGGTTATGTTCCTGATAAGAAGGGCTACAAGTGTTATCACCCTAGTAGTAGGAAATTTTTTGTTTCTATGGATGTTACATTTCAGGAATCTGAGTCCTTTTTCCAAGGTCCTCATCTTCAGGGGGAGAATCTTTCACCAGAAATCTCATCACCTCCCTTCTTTGAGTTTGAATCATCAGTGTCTACTCCTTTACTTATGTCAGTGTATCCTCCACCTGGTCCTGTTCCTCCTGTGTCTGTTTCTCCTTTGTTTGTTCCTCCTGTGTCTGATCCTCTTGTGAGTAATCCTCTTATGACTGATTCTCCTGTGATTGATACATCAAGTACACCAGAGATACGAAAGATTATGACACCTGAAAGAAGGAAACAACCCACATTGTCTCAGCAGCAACCTCAATCGTCTGAACCACTGGTAAGTCCTGAATCTCATATTTCTGATCATGATGTTAATACTTCTGATGACTTACCCATTACTACTGATTCTGATGATTTACCCATTGCTCTTAGAAAAGGAAAAAGAGCTTGTCCCAAGAAATCTTGTCCCTCCTGTCCCTCT